GGTATTTCTCAGGGAAGTGCCAGTCTCCTCTGCTTATCTCTTCCTCGCTCCTCTGGAGATGAGAGCACATTCTTTACTCCCCTCCCACCATTCCAGTCCATCACATCAAGTACTTTTATTAAAGACTGAAAACCTTTTATGGACTTTTTGCTGAAAATGGAAAAAAGTGAAATGGTGATTTCTGGATTTGCTGATTGAAAAAAGGGTTGAATAGAAGGAATCTTTGTAATGTAATCATAAAGAGGGAGGAGAGATAATTAGTTTATTTGTAACTGCTGCAAAGATTGGAAGTCACCTCTTTAGTTTTCTTTTTCTTTTTTCTCTATTGCTTTTTGCACTTTTTTGTCCTTTTTCTAATTTCTCTTTATATATTTTAATGTTTATCTTTTATCTTTTATTTATGTAAAACTGTATGTGTGTGTGTGTGTGTGTGTATATATATATATGTATGTATGTATATATATATATATACAGTATGTATGTATGTATGTATGTATGTATGTATATATATATATATATAACATAATTTGAATGTGGTAGAATCTAGCTTATTTTAATTTCTCTTCTTCACCTCCCCACCTCCTCTTCCCTCTTCTTCTTTTGAGTATGTGTTTGTGTGTTTGTGTACATGTGTGTAGGATGGGGTTGAGAAGATTTTTCTTACTCCAGTAAGAAACTCAGGGAGAAGATTTTTCTTACTCCAGGACCAATAGTAACTCAGGGAGAGGCACTGACTAAATAACACTGTTCCCACTCTACTATTTGGTTATGAGATCTTCTGTGTTTCATGCTCTAGAGAAGTGAAGACAATCACAGGGGATCAGTGAGAAAATAAGGAATGAAAAAACTGGGGTCTGGACATTTCATCACAGTAGCAGATTTCCATAATTCAGGTTCTCAATCATGAGAAGCGCATTAATCTCAGTCGGTCAATAACTTTCTCACCAACACTGATAGGCTGGGATGGAGTAGATGTTACTACTGCCCTTCAAAATTAGAATTTTTCAGTGGTGGAAGAGGGTTATTGACATATAATAAGAACTTCTGTTCATCTCACTTTCATGTACTTCATTTCTTGGAAAATTAATACATGACAGCAAAGTCCATTAAAATACCAAGTTCTTGTTATTTACATTCCAAACGTTGATAGCAGAATAACATGGATCCATAGACATTACAGCAAGCATTCATTTTGAATGAAAAGGAATGCCACCATTGAGCTATCACAAATGAAAGTGCCTTCTTTTAAATAGAAGGCAGTCGCACCTCACCTAGAAGTGCCAATTGTGTATCAACTAGGATTACAAACAGGGTCAGACTGTTGCAACACTGCGTTATAATTAAGCACACTTATATCAC